TCCCAGGTCTGGGGGGTAAAGCCTGCACAGAAGGGCAAGCCCCTGTCCCCAGGGAGCTGCCGGGTCAGCCTCTAGCACAGAACAGAGGAGCTGGGGGGAAGGAGGTGGAACAGTCAGCCTGAGCCCAGGCCCAAGGAAGGCAGCCAAGGGCTTCTCAAACCTCTGGCTCCTTTTTCTCTATCCCTTAGCACAGTGGGTGAAAAAGAGGTGTTAAGGGCCTGTTCCTGGGACCTCCTAGTTCATGGGAAGCGTGTGGGAGATTTGGCTGAAAGATGCATAAAGTGTGGCCCTGCAATTAAGGAAACCCAAGCCACCCTAGGCCAGAGCATGTAAATCCTTCCAGCTAGTTCCTGGAGGGGGAGGAGACCAGGCTGTCATCTTGGGGTGTGGCCTCTTGAAGTGCCTCTCAAGGCAGCTGCTGATCTTAAAGTGCTCACCAGTTTAAGAAATGGCAGCAAGTGTAGGTGGGAGGAAAGGCTAGGCACCACCTCACCCCACTAAGTTGGACTGTTGCTGGGAGGTCAAGAAAGGGAACAGTCTAAATGCCCGGATTGTAGCTGCTCTTCAGAGGCTAAGGACCACCTGAAGCCCTGCCTGCCACCTGCTGGCCCCTCCTGGTACTACTGCCAGAGGAGCAGCAGCAGCCTGCCTATTCAAGATGACCACTAGCACTGGTCTCACAAGTAAAGGCCCTTGGAGACAAGGATCTAGGAGAGTAACATGGAACTTAAAGTACTGCAGCAAAAGCAAGGAATTCTTTTTTTCCCTTCTACTTTTGTTGTATTAAGCAGACTTTTTGTGTGTGTTTCGGATAAGTGAACCCAGGACCTTCACACTGAGCTATATACTTAGCACTTTTATTTTTTAAGACAGGGTCTCACTAACTCACTATGTTGCCCGGGCTAGGCTCAAATTGGCACTTTTCCTGCCTCTCCTTCCCAGAGTGGTGGCATTGTAGGCCTGCATCACCATATCCGACTAGCTGAGCAGGGAATTCTTAATGGCATTAGCAGCTCCACCCTGGAAAGCAACACCAGAGGTGCTTGTCATGCCTTCTGCAAAGTCTAAAGGTCCGGAAAGTCCCAAGTGTTCCAGGTGATGAAGTACCCAAGAAAAATCCGCAGGCTAGGGATGTACAGCTTAGTGGCAGAGCACCTGGTCAACACTCACAAGGCCCTGGGTTTGATTCCCTAGCACTGCTAAGGAAAAAAAAGATCTTATGAACTCAAGGAATAAGGAAAGGAAGGAAAAACAATCATTCACACTTGCTGTATAAGTACAAGGAGATGCCACATATCAACCCTGTCACTGTAGCAAGATGTGGGGAAACACAGTCCCATCTCCATGAGGGTTGGCCCTGGAGGGAACCTAGTGCTCCAGGTCACCTGAGATGCAGACTCTTTGCCTCAGCAGTCCCACTGCTCTGACTTTACCATTTAGGCACACATGTGCAAGATGATGTGTGCAGGCTATTCACTACAAGACTGTCTCAGACAGTAAGATGGGAAATAATACTAACGCCATCAACAGAGCGTTGGTTAGGTAAACTTTGGTATACGTGTGCAATGGAATATTAAGGAGCCAGAAAAAATGACATGGTAACTGTATTTGGAATGTATTCTAGGCTAGACTGCTAGAGGGAAAAAAGCAAGGGTAGAATAGGGTCCAATATGCTACCATCTTTGTAAACAGACACCTACCTGTATGTGTCTACTGCTCATTCGTGTACAGAGCTCCCCTGGAAGGACACACAGACACTCAGGGTTGTCACTGGGAGGAGAAACTGGTAGCTGAGGAACAGGAGGACTCACTGATCACTGAATACATCTCAGTTCATTTGCATATATGCTATTTGCGTGTTGCTATAGTCTGAATGTCTGTTCCCCCAAAACTCTGTTAATCTAAACCCAAGGTGATGGGGTTAGGAGGGGAGGTCACTGGAATATAATTAGATCACAAGGGCATTCTTAAGAGCCCCAAGAATGGGATTAGTGTCCTTATATCAGGCCTCATAGAGGCCTGTGGGAGAGCTGGTTGCTCTTCCACTGTGTGAAGACGCAGCAGAAAGGGATCATCTATGAGTTAGAAATCGGACCTTCACCAGACACAGAATCTGCTGGTGCCTTGCTCTTAAATCTCCTAGCCTCCAGAACTGTTAGAAATGTTTTTCGTAAGCCCACTATTTATGCTATTTTTTTACAGCAACTCAAACAGACCAAGATATGATGAATACGCATATGAATATATTCAAATTAATAAACTATGGTGAGGGCCGGGGATTTACCTCAGTGGTTTCGCCACCTGCTGCGCAAGCGCAAGGACCTGAGTTTGATCCCCAGTACCAAAAAAAATTTTAAAAAATAAAAAAATAAACTATGGTGAAGTTCCCTCCCTTCCTGGGGTACAGAAATAAATTATGAGGGTAGAGATGTCAAGCTAGGAAGGGTTGTATTAGCCAAGGGTCTCCAAAGTTTACTCTTTGTTTGTTAACAGTACCTGAAATTGAACCCAGAGCCTCGCACGTGCTGGGAAAGCCCTCTCACTGAACTATATACAGTAAACAGCCTTTTAAATTTTCTTTTTGTTTATTTCAGCATGCCTGTAATCCCAGCACTTGGGAGGCTAAGGCAGGAGGATTGCCACAAGATCAAGGCCACCCTGGACTCCATGAGTTTAACACCAGCATGAATTACAGAGCAAGACCCTTTCCCACCCCCCACAAAAAATTTTATTTCAGATAGGGTTGCGCTAAGTTGCCCAAGCTGGCTTTGAACTTGAGATATTTCTGCCTCTGCCTCCCAAGTAATTGAGACTACAGGTGTGTGCCACCGTGCCCAGCTCAAAGTTTACTCTAGCACACGAACGGTAAAAAGTTGGAATATACGCCCCTCTAACACATACATGTTTATTTTTAAACCATGGTAACTGCCATTTTTATAGATCAAAACAATTTGAATATCAGCAATTTCTTGTGGTTCAACTTACTATGCATAAAAAATCTACATGGACCAATGAACTAATAACATTCATGTATATTACACAAGCACATTCGAAGTGAAGAGATACATTAAGACTGAGCCCCAAAACAAACACACATCAAAGGCTGAATCCTTTCTCCCCACACCCAGCCGTCCTACACCCTCCCGTGAGAACTCTGCCCTAGATGAGGCCCAGCATCCACTCAACACAGCCCTGTCAGGGGTAACAATTTTCACTTTCAAAGTGGAAAGCCGTTTCGAACCAATAAGCTCGCGCTTAGAAAATTCAGACAGAAAGCTCTCATTCAGACTGACGCAGGAAGCAGAATTCCACCTGCTCCGTGTCATCATCCCTGCACCTTAACGTCTGTCACTGTCCCAGGCACTTAACAGGACACCTCCTTGGGAGAAATAAATGCACTTTCTCCTCCCCACACAATATAGTCAGAGCTTCAGAGAGCGCATTTTCTATTTATCTATATTTACTTATATGCTGTACACGAGGACCTGAACCCAGAGCCTCAGACACTTCAGGCAAGTGGCCCACACTGAGCTGCATGCCAGCACTACCACCACCCCTACCTTTAAAAAAGAAAAACTTCTGAGGTCTAAGTTGCTCAGCCTGGCCTTGAACATGTGATCCTCCTGTCTCAACCTCAAACAGCTGAGCTGACCATCATCACACTCAGCTTAAGGTTTGAATTTTTCAGCATAACAATGCCTCAGAAAGTTGGAATAAGATTGGGGGGCAGAAAAGTCAGCCTAAATGCAAAAATGTAAGTTTCAAAGCACCACACATGGCCAGATATGGTGGTGCACACCTGTGATCTCAGCATTCAGGAGGCTGAGGCAGGAGGATTGTTAGGAGTTCAAGGCCAGCTTTGGCTACACAGTGAGTCCAAGGTCAGCCTAAATTATAGAGTGAGACTGTCTCAAAAAACAAAAATACATGACTACTTTCAAGAATAGGCTATTTAACAATGCTGACTTCCTAAAGTGAGGGGAGAAGTGTTCCTTCTTTTTTCTGCTTTAAATGTTTGATATAATTCATCAGTTAAAATGTATATGAGCCTGCTGTTGTCATATGGATAGATTTTTCAAGCTAGGAATATACTTTCTTTAATAGGTGCTATTCAAATTTTATTTTTCCTCCAGAGTCAGTTTCATTAATTTGTCTTCCAAGGTATTTCTTAGAAGTTGTCAAATTTATTTCAAAAAGGATTTTTGTAACAGGCTTACTATATCCTTTTAAATTCTGTAAAATCTGAGGTAATGTCTTCTAAATTTTGATATTGTAATTTTTTAAATGTATAATTGATATTGTGTAATAGGAAGAAAAGGTCTAAAGGAGTAGGGGAAGTGGGAGGGGTAGGGGAAAGGAAAGAAATGAGAAAAGGAAAAAAAATGGAAACAAAGTCTTTGCAAATAGGGAAGGGTGGAGGGGGTGAAGGGAGGGCAGGAGAAGGGGAAAAAATAAGAACCAACATACATCATGTAAAGGTACAAGATCCCAATGATGAATGTAACTGTATTGTATCCCTAAAATGTATCAATAAACTTAATGGGGGGAAAAAAAAGAACAGGCTTAAATATTTAAGGGCTGGGGATTTAGCCTAGCGGCACAGCACCTGCCTGGCAAGCTCGAGGTCCTGAGTTCAATTCCTGGTGCCAAAAAAAAAGCTATTTAACACTCATTTCAATTCTCTTATTACCAGAGGTGGTGATGGCAAGATGACTCTTTACAGAATAGAGTACTTAACAGCACCCAGCACCCAAAAGCTCAGGGTTGGAGGTGGAAACAATTCTGATGCCTGCTTTCTACTCTTTGAGAACAAGGATTTTCTTCTAAACAAACAACTTAAACTCAGTTATGGGAACTATTTAACACACATAATGACTGCTGATTCCTTACATCACTTCAAAGCCCTACAACAGACAGCCCCTCCTGTTGAGCACAGCAGCTTTGAGGCCCTTGCTCTCAGCTCACCCTGGCCTTGACCAAGCTTCAGCTTCCCTACAGTCCCTCCCCTAGGCTCAGATGACTCCCAATCTACTCTGTGGGTTGTTCCCCCTCACTCTCCACCTTTGACTTGTAGAGTGTGATGGTGTTTAGAACATTCTGCATCTAAAAAGAAAGTACATCCTCAGTACTTGGAAGAATCCACACAAGACCCCATGAAGCTTTTTACTGACATTATCTTCCCAGTATAGGACAAAGAATGTTACTAGAAAGGGGCTGATTTAGCTCAGTGGTACTGCGCCTGCCTTGTAAGCACAAGGTCGTGAGTTCAATCCCTGGTACCAAAAGGGGCGGGGGGGGGGGGGCTTCTTCTTCCTGATCTCTCATAACTATCAAAAAGAGCAAAGGACAACCTAGTCCCAAGATTGGAGAAGATAAAGTACAGAACAGCAAATATCTCTAGACGACAGAAATGAACAAATTTGGGTCCCTCAGTTCTCTTCTCCTCTGTCCCTCTGGATTAGAAGGGAAGAAGGCCCATATCCCAGGAGTCAATCTCTTTGTGTGACTAGTTCTTGAAACCAATTCATTTTCTGTCTCTATAACATGCAACAAAGTACTGCTGCAAACCCAAGTGATCCAGTGATGACAGGCCCGGAAGCAAGCACCTTCTCAGGGGTGCTGGTGGCGATTCTAGCTCAGGAATTGCTAGCACGGCAAGAGGGGATACAGGCCACCCAGCGGGCTAACTCTACCAAGTCCTCTGTCCATATAGCCTTTCCTCCCTCATTTTCTCCCCACTTCCTTCCTTCCTTTGAGACAGAGTCTAAGTTGTCCAGGCTGCCTCTGGACTAGGAATCTTCCTGTCTCTATTTCCTAAGTGCTGGGATTACAGGTGTGTACACTACTAGAACTGGGTAGCACCTTTTTTAAAATCAATAACTTGATCAAGGTTATCACCTCATCCCAATCTTAAGTCAGGTAAATTTACTTGATAATCAAAAGTTCAGTGTCACAAGCATGGTATATGGCAGGCAGGGAACCACTGGCGCATTTTTCTAAAGGACCCTAATGTAGGGAAATTAAGCAATATCTCACAACTTGACTACTTCCAGGCAGGAAGGTACAAGGTTGTAATCCCAGCACTCTGGGAGGCTGAGGCAGGACTGCAAATTCAAGCCCAAACTAGGCAATTTAGCAACTTAGTGAGACCCTGTCTCAAAATTTTAAAAGGGCTATGTGGCTACCTGGGTTCAATCCCTAGTCCTACCCACCCAAAGATTTGACTGCCTCCAGGATCCCCAGCCAACTTATACAACTAATAGGGAAACTGCAAGATCTCCTAATCAATGGTTACATTTTATAGGGAAAGTAAGTAAAAACCAAGTAGCCTGTCTCTATGATTTCACACATGGAAGATATGCTTATGAATAATATACCTTTAGAGGCTGAGGGTACAGCTAAGCAGTGGAGTACCTGTCTAGCTAACGATGAAGGCCTGGGTTTGATACTGAGCACTGCAATAATAAATAAAACACCTATTTTGTTTTGAGACAAGGCCTCACTATGTAGTCTAGGCTGGCCTTGAATTTGTAATCCTGCCTCAGCCTCCTTCACGCTGGGACCACAGGCATGTGCCACCATGCCCAGAAATAACACACCTGTTAATAGAGTACAAATGTATCTGTAGCAAATGCCAAACTATGAGAGGCAGAGGGATTTTTTTTGGTACCGGGGATTGAACTTGGGTCCTTGCACTTATGAAGCAGGAGCCGGAACCACTGAGCTAAATCCCCGGCCCTGAGAGGCAGAGGGATTTTAAGGTCTGTTGTGTGCTTTTCTGAGTCAAGGAAAGCCCAGAATCCTACTTCTTCCTCCCAGAAAAGGGGACAAACTGACGAAGAATATAGAAAGCTTCTAGGGTTTGTATGCTTTTCTTTAAAGAAACACTCTAGGGCTGTGGATTTAGCTCAGTGGTTCCGGTGCAAGGTCCTGAGTTCGATCCCCAGTATCAATCAATCAATAATAAATAAATAAATAAATAAATAATAAAATAAAATAAAGAAACACTCTACACAGAAGAAACTATTTCCTTAAAAACCCTGACATTAAGAGTTCTACTACCAGGGTGGGGATGTAGCTCAGTAGCACAGTACCTGCCTCACAAGTGCAAGGTCCTAAGCTCAATACCCAGTACTGGAAAGAAAAGAAAAGGAAAAAGAAAAAAAAAAAGAGTTCTGCTACCAAAGCCGAAGCCATCTAAAACTGTCAGTTTAAAAAAAAGAAGTTTTTTTGTGAACAAGAGTGAAAGCTGTTGCACATCTGACAAGGTGGACTTTTCCTGCTAACAGAATCCATTAGTATTCGGCTCTATGAACATCATCACAATGGACATACTTCTTACAAAGCCATGGATGGGTGTAAAGGACTAAGGCTAAACTCACTTCAAAAGATGAGGCCCCAAACCTTATCCCTAACACTGACTCACAGCAAGGGATTTAAATCAAATCAGTCTCCAATGCAGTGATTCTCAACTTGGTTTATCAGCCTCTTAGGGACTCTTTGGAAGGAAACCCCAATAAGTAGGCTGTACCCTAGAGTCTCTGGGGGTGGCACTCACCAGCATTTTTAGGCTTCCCAAGTGACTGGAATTTTTCAGTCAAGATAGGTGATCAAGGCATTAGGTAACAATCATCAGCATGTTCTTCAGCCCACTGACTCCACAAGGAAGGAAGTTCCTTTGGGGAGTGCTGGCTCTCACACTTTTTTTTTGGTACCCAGGGATCAAATTCAGGACCTTGCACTTGTGAGGCGCGGTGCCACTGAGCTAAATCCCTGGCCCCTCTCACACTCTTTCACTTCATTCAAGAACATTTTCTCTTCTGTTTTTGGTGTCCTTTTCTTTTCTTTCTTTTTTTTTAGGAGACAGGTTCTCTCTATGTAACTTAAGCTGGCCTTCAACTCACTATGTAGCCCATGCTGGCCTCAAACTCAGTGATCTTCCTGCCTCAGCCTTCCAAATGCTGGCAATACAGGTGTGTGCCACCATACCCAGCTTGATGTAATTTTTAGCCTTACTGTTGCCCTGGTGACTTCTGGAGCAATATTTAATCAGGTGAATACCAACAAAAAGATGGAAAAAGAAGGAAATTTCCATAAGGTATGATATGAATAAAAAGAATAAGTGAAAAAACAATCTCAGGTTTAAAAGTAAAGCATGAGAAGTCAAAACCTATGAATTTTATTTTTACAAAAGAATAAAAGTATCTATTTTAAAAGGACTGATTTAAACTTATGGTTTTCAGCTTCTCCTGTTCCTTGAACAAAAAACTGCTTCCAACTCAGAGATTTGAGATAGGTAATTATTAAATAAACACTCTACCTTCCCCCTGCAAAAAACCACTGAGCCAAGTTTCCCATTTTACTTATAGTAAACCACATTATTTTCAGTTAAGAATATTGGCAACTGCATGAAACATCATCAGATATGGAAGATACTATCAGCAGGAAGGGATGAGCTGTACAAAGGCATTATAAAAAGTCCCAGGAAGAAAATAAGGTGGTAAAAGCAACAATAGGAAAATAATAAAACACAAAATAAAGTAGGAGAAATGCCAGATATTTACAGCCTACATCAGAAATGTGGCTTGTGGTCTACGTTCAGCATAATACAAAACCCGAGAACGCACCTCAGTGGGGTCACAAATGTAGCTGGGGCTGGCCAGTTTGGGGGAGACATTCATTCTAAGGGAGAAATGCACGGAGAGCAACATGTGGGGATTACCACCACGCCTTGGTCTCCCTGCAGTTCTGCTTCTAAGAAAGACACAAAGCAAACGATGTCTTACAGAAGTGACTTGTCACCACATTTAGAACAAACTACTCAGTCACAGGCACTGGGTCTGGGAGAGCAGAGGTGGGCAGCCACGCACTCAGATGAGGGATGTTTATCTGTGTGAGGTCGGAGAAGGGAAGCAGGGCTCTACAGCCTGGACGCTTCTGTACTAATGAGTCTTCTAATAGTCCTGAAGAGAAAGAAACAAAAGTCCCACTTACTCTCCACAGAACACTGGTTTGACCCTAAGGAAAAAACAAATCTACCAAATAACTGTGCTGGGGAATTGTTCTGTAGCTAAAGATTGTATTTCAAATCTTATACAGTATTTCACATCTGAAAATGGCCTGTCTTCTGAAGGTCCATAAAGAGACATCAACTGAAACATCAATTCTGCTCTTACTAGACCACATAAACTCACCAGGAAAAAAAAGCTAGCAGCAACTATTTATTATTTAATCAAAGGGAATTATTTTTTCTTGCTGAGCATAGTGGTGCATGCTTGCAATAGCAGCATTCTGTGAGGTTGAGGCAGGAAAATCACAAGTTTGAGCCCAGCCTGAGCAACTTAGTGATTTAGCAAGACCCTGTTTCAAAATTTTAAAAAAGGGCTAGAAATGTAGCTCAGTTCAAAGGCCCTGGGTTCAATTCCCAGTACCAAAAAAGAAACCCAAAAACAAAAACCAGAAAGTGTGACTTTTCTCTCTCCAAAATAAAAATAGCATCTAAAAGTTAAAAGTGTATACAGACAGACACACCAGACTTCAAAAGTGTGACCTACATTAGAAACACTAAAACTCTGAAGATGAGACATTTTTCTAATCATCTACAAAACTTCCAGCCTCTCTCAAGTGCTCTGACTGATACTTACAGCTCGTGGTTTTTTGTTTAACTTCAGATCAATCCTGTGATAGGAAAGATAAAAGACATGTGCATTTTAATTTACAGAAAAGGGGTCAACAATCAGCTACTGTATAGGGCACAAGCTATAACAAAGGCTACCTGGTTAAGTAAAATCCATATATTCTCCATTAGACTGCGTCTTATTTAGCTGTTTACCCAGGTATTACTAAGCAGGTATTAAAAAATATGAGCAGGGCTGGGGATTTAGCTCAGTGGTTCCACCTGCCTCGCAAGCACAAGGTCCTGAGTTCAATCCCCGGCACCCAAAAAAAAAAAAAAAATATATATATATATATACACACACACACACACACACACACATACATACATACATACATACATACATACATATATATTGCCTTAGGGCAAACTTGGATGACTCAAGAAATGTACAGCAGTTACAAGTCATATACTTTTTTTTTTTTTTGGTACCGGGGATCGAACTCGGGTCCTTGCGCTTGCATAGCAGGTGGCAAAACCACTGAGCTAAATCCCCAGCCCTACAAGTCATATACTTTTAAAAAAAGTATTCCAAAATTACATGTGAAAGAGACTGGATTAAGAGGGCATGCTCTATGTTAACATGTTAGCTTTATAACTATATCACTGGAAATTACTGAGACACATGGTGATTAAGAGCAGGAAAGAGACTAGGAGTTCTATTTTTGGACATGAAACAGAAAAGAAATTAAATGAATTTCAATTTTTAAATGTTTCCAAAACAAAATATCAAAATCTTAAAACTATTAATTTCTTTATGAAGCAAAGACAGAAAATCAATTTAAATATGAATTAAAGTAAAGATTATCTATTTTTAAAGAAATTAAAATGCATAAAAGTGAAGTTTACTTAATTTTGCTTAAGTTATTAAATAAAATGTTACCTCCATCATGTTTTTCTGTTTTTAAAAAAAACTTCCCAGCCTAACCTAATATATACACCTACAATTAAACAGATAAACTATGGGTTAGAAAGGTCTCAAAAAGGCATACTGGTGTCTACACACTAAACAACACGGCACAAATACTAATTCAAATCAAACTTACTCAAAGTCATAATCAAACATGCCAGACGGGCTGAGGGGCAGCATTTGAAAGGAAGAAAGCAATAGAAATTAATACACTAATTGAACAAATTAGTCGATTAGCCACCCTAGCAAGATTTGTAGAAATCAAATCAGTTTTAAAAATTTCAAGCCATAGTTTCAAACATCAATGCACCAAAGATTCTGTGGTCAGGAGATTCCCTTCCCTCAATGGATTCCATAAGAAAAGAACAGACTATGCAAGGAAAGGTTATTTCATTAGAAAACTACAGGTAACTGCATCCCTTTTATTAGCTTCCAGATTCAGAGTTAGAACTTTTTAAATAGTTGTATTAAAAAGTATCATGTGGGCATTAGAAGAAACAGGAAAAAAAGTTTAGTCTTACAATGAAAGGTACGTATAACTCAGCATAGTACTTTCACTAAAATAAAGGACAAAAACATTTCAAACTTTAAGAACAGATTAAACATTTGGCAACTTTTTACTGCCATTCTATGCTCTAAAGTGCCCAGGAACGTGGTGCTCTTTGCTACCGCTTCCATCCTAGAAGCCAAGGTTGAATCAATAAACTTGAGCAGCAGAGTCGTGTTCCAAAATCCAAAGATCAGTGCTACTCGGCCCCCTGAGGTGGTGATAGCAGGCAGTTAACTGTCTAGAGAAATACCCAAATCTTCGAGGCCCTGTTAACGGAAAGGAAAGCCGACCCCCACAAGCACCCACACCTCCAGGATCTGGAAGGGAGTGGCACAGGGAGCACAGTTTGCTGCCATCTCCGCTGACAGATCAAGGTCTGGGCAGAGCTCCAAAGCAAACACTAACCCCAGGCATGACCCCAGCGGCTCAGCTGGCTCCAGGCCCTTTCAGACTGCAGGCAGGAGGTAAAGCACTGTGTAAACGGCTGCATTTGCCTCGAGACAATGTATGCAGGTGTGAAGTTGGAAGAAAGCTTAACTTCAGTATCCTCAGGTAATAGTAAGTGTACAAAGCTGGAATTTAAAAAGCGGTTTATTCTCAGGCTGTGTTCACAAGTTACAAAAGACTATAGCAGCTGAAGGTGTATTCTCACTGGTAGAATATGTGCTTAGCACGCATAGGGCCAAGTTCAATCAATCCCTAGCAACAGGAAAAAAATAGAGAAATAAAAATGAGCTGGGCATGGTGGTGCATGCCAGTAATCCCAGCCCTTGGGAGGCTGAGGCAGGAGAACTACTGCAAGTTCAAGGCTAGTTTGAACTACATAGTGAGACCCTGTCTCAACAACAACAACAAAATAATAAAATTTAAAAATGTATCTAGTTAATCAAAACATGGGTTTGAGTCAGGTATGATGGCACACCTATAATCCCAGTACTCTGGGAGGATGAGACAGGAGGATTTTAAATTCAAGCTCAGCCAAGGCAACTTAGTGACTTAGTGAGACCCTGTCTCAACATAAAAAATAAAAAAGGACTGGGGAGGTAGTTCACTGCAAAGGCTCTGGGCTCAGTCCCCGGCACCACAAAGTAAACTCAAGTTTGGTATAACAGTAAAAGCCTGTAAGAGCAGCTATGAGTTATTTCAATTTTTTTCTTTAAAGATGCTGGTACTTATTTTTCAGATGTCATATAAAATATAAGAATTCAGGGCCAGGGATTTAGCTCAGTGGTTACACCGCCTGCCTCGCAAGTGCAAGGACCCGAGTTCGATCGCTGGTACCAAAAGAAAAAAGAATTCAGAACACGGTGATTATTTATGAACATTAAAAAATTATTTGATAAACTTCATTATTCCAGAAGAAGGAAAACTCAAAAGTCATTTTCTTTCACTAAAGTACTATATTTACTTTACCACTAAACAGTGCCTGGCATATAAGTCCACAAATATTTGCTGAAATAGTTTACTATTGATTCTGATTACAAGGGGTAAGGCCACAAGGGAGGAACGAGTGCTATACTGGGTGCCAATTTACCAACAGGCAACACACTCCACCCCACAGCCCAATCTGTCAGGCCCAAGAAGACACCAGTTGGGGGTGAGGGGTTTAGAACAGACACAATTACTGACTAAAGACGGCAGGAATCCAAAAACCTTAACTGGACACTGAGGTACCACTCAGGCATCCTGAGGGAAAGCCAGTCAGCGCCACTCTCTTCTTTTGGGCAGGGCAAGTGCCTAAGCCAAGGGAGAAAAACAGTCAGATACAGAATCAGAAGGAAAAAAATACGATCTGCTTTCTGAGTAGAAAACATCATTTGTGAAAGCAATAACACTAAAGGTCTTTAGAAATACAGATGTTTTTATGGAAGGGGTTCATTTGTTCCCAGGGCCAGGAGAGGAAACAGTAAGGAAGTGTTTTTTTCTATGAAATTTACTGGAAACCTGCAAGAAAAAAGTTAAATTTAATGCTCCCTTTTATCAACCAGTTGATCACATCATTAGTGACAATGAGGTATTACCTGAAATAGACAGCTACCTAGAGATTACTGTATATTGACAATAATGGAAAAAGTCCCAGACACTTTCAAGGAATTTTCTCCCTACTCTAGACACCCTGAAAAAGGAAAGCAGCCATTACTTTAAAACAACACTGGCAATGCAGAACATAACATTTCATCCTTCTGACAATTTTAAAAATATTTTTTAAGGGGCTGGGTATATAGCTTAACAGTAAAGTGCCTGCCTAGCATGTAGGAACCCAGGGTTTCATACCCAACACTCAAAACAAAGTTTTATTTATTTATTTATTTATTTATTTTTATTTATTTTTTTTTTGGTACCGGGGATCAAACTCAGGTCCTTGTGCTTGTGCAGCAGGCAGCGAAATCACTGAGCTAAATCCTCGGCCCAACAGTTTTAAAATTAAATTAAGTATTTTTTCAGAAAATGGTTCTCTGCTGTTAGTGATAAGTTAGCACCAGTTCCATCATGGCAGTCAAATAACTTCGAGCCTTATCCCCACCAGCACCAGAAAGAAAGAAAAAAGCAATTTTTGTTATTTCTTACTACAGTTTTGAGATGAACATGGTGACTTTTGATGTGCAGAAAAACATTAAGCGGCAGCTTTGTCACTGTTTGGAGAAAATATTATTTCTGCAGTCAAAAAGAAAAAACACCATTACCATCAACAAAAAAAGTTCTTAGAATCAATTAATGGGAAAGAGGTTCAAACCAGTAAGATTTAATTCTACATTATCCCCATTCCAAATCCATAAAGCTAATAACAGTTTTAATACCTTGGCGCATGAAGGAATCTCCTACACATTTCTTTTTTGTTGTTGTTGTTGTTGTTTGGGGGTTTTGTTTTGTTTTTTGAGACAAAGTCTCAACTGTGTAGCTCAGGCTGGCCTTGAACTCACTATGTAGCCCAGGTTGGCCTCAAACTTATGGTGATCCTCCTGCATCAGCCTCCTGAGTGCTGGAATTACAGGTGTGTGTCACCATGCCCAGCTTGTTTTTTTATTTGTTTTGAGACAGGGTCTCACTATGTAGTTCAGGCTGGCCTTCAACTCACTATGTAGCCCTGGCTGGCCTCAAACTCATAGTGATCCTCCTGCCTCAGCCTCTCAAGTTCTGGGCTTATGGGCATGCACCACCACACTTGGCTCTACACGTTCCTGAAACAAAATGTAGAAGCAAACTGGAAGACAGGGAACACAGCCCATCCCTTGCATGCCCCTTCACCTCTTCAGCATGCAGGCTTCCACAACAAGAAGGACAAGAGTCAGATAAGAAAGACCCATTTCCATGCCTCCTGGGTTTACAGCCAGGACAAGATTCCTAGCTCCAGAAATGATGCATTACCCTCTTGGAATGATGTTATAGAAGTCACAATTATCTGAGCTCATAGCCCCCAGCATTATCACACAAACCCCAGACAGAGTGAATTCTAAAGTCCACTCTGGGTGACACCTGACCTCTTTGTCCACTGATATCCTTCCTATCTCATTAGGCACTGCAAAAAACATGGTGGACAAATGTTATCTAGGAAGGCACTCTCACGTTTTATAGGTTTTGTATTGTTTCCCAGTATTTGAAGTCAGCATATTGCAGAGAACTATAAAAACACAAGAATCATAAGTGATAGAAAAGCTTGTATTTAAAATCTTTTTTAAAGGCACATTAAATCAATTCTCATAAGAGTAGGCAGGGGTCAGGAGTAAGAGCAAAAGACTATCCCACTTTACCCAATATACACTAGTGTCATTTAGCAATACTATTACACAGATTCCATTTCTATTTCCCCTGTTTCTCTTCTGAAAGGATTCCAAATTCACAACATTAAACAATGTTCTTGGGGTCAGGGTTAGGGTTCTGCACTAGCAACAGTGGAAGGATGTCCTGAAGTCCTCCTTCAGGCTGACTTTACTGCCCACCAACTCCTCCCTTAAAACATTAGCTGGTTTCATTTGGAGCAAAGGAATTTCTGTCCATCCTGAAGTGTTTTCATTCCAGGACAGTCCCTTTACACCGACAATCATCGGAGCTGTGGGGGTGGGGTCCCTGCCACTGACCTGTGCCGGTTTTTATTCTTTCGTTTTTTATGGCTGCTATGATGACTCCCTGAGGAAGTGGAAGAAGCAGCCTTCTGAGGTTTCACTCCCTGAACAGATCCATCCAGATCCTCAGGGTCCTCCTGGCTGGGCTCATTTTCCTGATTGTGGAAGTCCGGAGAAGTATCACTTTCCGTCCCACTTCCTGGTTCCCCTGGAGGGAAGAAAACACAAGTTTCTCAAAGCCTCGTCAGTACTCCTCGGACTACCTGTCTGGCATCAGGAAAGATTCTGTGAGCACGAACACTGAGTGACAGGGAAGATACACACAAAGCATCAGTTACCGGAGTTCCTGAAAAACAAGTCACCTAAAATAGTGTGACCAGAGGCAACAGATCTAGGGACAGCTGGGAGATGGCAACACACAGGATAACCTCCTTACATAAAGGTTATTTAGACATAGAGTACACTGACAGGATTAATAATTATACAAAACAGCAACTGCAAGCATTAGGAAGGTCTCCAGGGGATGAGAAAATGAGCGTGGCAAAACTGTCTGCAGCTGGCCCTGGTTTCTTTCCCCAACCATACATGAATCCTGTCTTCCTCACAAGAAAAGGTGAATTGCCAAGAAAGGAGAAGCCCCACTCCCTAAATTACTTCTAGAAGTCTAAGATTTTGTTTGTATTATGGTCCTAAGGATTAAATCCAGGCCTTCATACAAGAGCTTTACCACTGAGCTACATCCTCAGTCCAAGAATGTAGTTAAAAAGCAGTAAGAAAACTCTTCAGCTGACTACACTCCCAATTTAAAAACAATGTATCAAACAGAAGAAAATTCAAAAACAATTCATATGAATATTTACTTTTAAGAATATAATTGGGCCGGGGGTGGTGGCACACACCTATTATCCCAGCACCTGGGAGGCTAAGGAAGGAGGATTGCCATGAATTCAAGGCCATCCCTGACTATATAGAGAGTTCAAGACCAGCCTGGACTATACAGCAAGGCCATCTCAAAAAAAAGAATACAATTGGTAGAGCACTTGCCCAAGATGAACAAGGCCTTGGGTTTGATCCTCAGCACCACAAGGAAAAAAACAATTATGTTCTGATAATGTATTCTGGTTTTCCCTGAAAGGAATTTCTTGAATCTTTTTTTTGGTACCGGGGATCAAACTCAGGTCCTTGCGCTTGCGCCGCAGGCGGCGAAACCACTGAGCTAAATCCCCTGCCCTCTTGAATCTTTTAATAGATAAGGATGGGGGAAAGACTTTCACTTTATTTAGCTGATGATGTATCTGTTTATAAAAATCTTTATAAAAATGTATCTGTTTTTAAAAATCTTTATTTAACTGATGATGTATCTATTTATAAAAATTGTCAAAAAGGGTTATATGGGCCCGGGCATTTAGCTCAGTGGTGCCAATGCCTGCCTTGCAAGCGCAAGGTCCTGAGTTCAATCTGTGGTACCAAAAAAAAAAGCCTAGGGATGTAGCTCAGCACAAAGGCTCTGAGTTTAATTCCTAGTACTACTAAAAACAAAATCAAAAAAGGATTTTAAAACTTACTACACAAAGCTCCAGTAATCAACAATGTGTGGCACTGGCATAAGGATAAACATATAGATCAAGGGAACAGAATTTAGAGTTCAGATAGAAACCCTTACATTTATGTCAAATGATTTTGGACAATGGTAATGAGACAATTCACTAAAGAATCTTCCCCCCGCCCCCAACAAATAGTGATGGACAACTGAATATTCACATGAAAAAGAATGAAGTTTGACCCCTACATCATTACCATAAAAACTAACTCAAATGGATCACAGGCCCAAATTTTAAAAAATTAAAACTAAAACTCTTAGAATCCATTGGGGAAAGCAGTGGTTTCTTGGATATGACCAAGGACATGGGACAAAAGAAAAACATATAAACATTATATCACTTACATAAAAACTCCAGAGTCAAAAACAATACCACCGAGAAATTGAAAAGACAATTCACAGGATGAGATGAAATATCTTCACATCATATACAGTATCTGGTATGATAAGGGACTCATATCCCACATATGAAGAACTCTAAGAACTCAATAAGAAATTAGCAAGAATAGGGCCAGGGATGTAGCTCAGCAGCACCGCGCCTGCCTGGCAAGCACAAGGTCTTGAGTTCGATTAGCGGTACCCAAAAAAAGGAAGTTAGCAAGAAGTCTGGCATAGTAGCACATGCCTGGAGTTCCAGCTACCCAAGAGGCTAGGACAAAATAAGCACTCGAGCACACAGATTCAAGGCCAGCCTAGGCAACATAATCATAATTCATCTCAAAAAAATAAGTAAAAGTGAGCAAAGGATTTGCTTTTATCTTCCAAAGAAGATACGAAATGGGGCCAGGGATTTAGCTCAGTGGTTCCAGCACCTGCCTCACAAGCACAAAGTCCCGAGTTCGATCCCTGGTACCAAAAAAAAAAAGAAGACATGCAATGACCAATAAGGCATCCAGAAGCATGTGTTAGGATAATACCAACCTATTAATGTGGGAATGTGGGTTACCTCAAATAGTTGGGACTGAAGTAAAATGAGCAGTAATCAACGTTTTTTATATTCATGTTTGAATCACTTGACTTATCACAATAAGAATGTATTACTTTTCTAGTTCAAAAACCTCTATAATAGAATAGAAAAAGATGAACCTAGAGAGAGATGTACGTTCAAGACAGCCCTGCTCCCATACTGAGCCAATCCCACTTTAATGTAGGTTTAAATAAAAGCAATTTCAGGGCCAGGGATTTAGCTCAGTGGCATGCCGTGCCTGCCTCACAAGTGCAAGGTCCTGAGGTTCAATCCCTGGTGCACCCCCCGCCCAAAAAAAAGCAATTTCTAAAAATGCGAATGGTGAAGTACTGGCTGGGGAAAGGAAAGGTTAACAGCCTGAGGCCACAAAAGCTTTGGCTCACAGGATGACAGCAAAGTAGGGACTAGGCACAGGGGGAGAGAGAATAACTAAAATGTGGGAGACACAGCTAAGCATGGTGACACATGCCTGTACCTCAGCACTCTGAGACACTGGGGTGGGAGGATCAAAAAGGTTAAGTCCAGCCTGGGCAACTTAGCTAGATCATGTCAAAAAAAAAAAAAGGCAAGTCAGATACAACAAATTTTGTTTATGCGGTAGTTCTAAGAAATAGACAGGCAAGCCCAGTTGTTAATGGAGTACTGCTAAGGAGCCCTGCTGCTAGGGAGAACGGAATGAACAGAGGGTCAGTCACACTCCACACTTCAGAGCAGCGTCCATCCAGCCAAGCCCTGCAAAGAACCAACTCACTTCTCTGAAGAAGTAACACGTGAGGCACCAACAGATGTCCCAGAGGACCAATGTGGGCATCAAAACCATGGGAGACAGAGATTATTCAGGACAAGCTTCACTGACAGGATGAATTAAAACTGGACTGAAGGATGGAGATGCAGTTCAGCAGTGAGCTTGCAGAGTGTGAGTTGTTCTCTAGCACCACAAAAAACATTCTAAAAATTAAAAAAAATTAAAAGGAAATAAAGCTTTGAAAATGAGAAGTCAAAATAAGAACAAAAAACAGCATAAACCAAGGTGCAAAAGTGAGAAAACATAAGGTATATTTGGGACAAATGAATCACAGTTATCTCTTAAACAGAGCGCCTGAGAAATAAAAAGTAAAATGCAGAGACAGGTTACGAAAGTCATAAATGTCAGACAGATTTTATCCAAGGAGACAGTTCCAATGAGGTCACAGTTAAGAGAAATGACTTATGCCTGACCTTTTGAGCCTGTTTCTCCAAAAGTAAAGTAAGAATTCTCCCTCATGTGTCAAACATTTTTGAGCGTCTCTTACTAGGGGAAGCATGAGCTGTCCAAGGGCTAGAGCAATTTTCTCCTCTCATGGAGCTTGCCATCTATATCTACCTTCAAGGGGCAACTCTAAGGAGTAAAGAAGGTAATGAAAATAAGGTACTGGCTTAGTATAAGCATCTACATCTCAAAAGCCTTGAGATCTACAAATGTATAAGTTAAAGTCTAAGTAAAGTGAAGAATACTTACAGTAAACAGTTGGAAGAGGACATAACAAGGGAAGCTATTAGGACTTTCTGAACAGAGGAATGACATAAAAATATGATGCGCTTTCTGGTGTATAAGGACAGGGAGCTAAGGAGACTAAATATTACTAAAATACAAAATGAAGCTGGGTGTGGTAGCACACATTACCCAGTTGCTCCAGAGGCTGAGGCAGGAGGATTGCTATGGGATAGCCTGGGCAATCTGGTGAGACCCTGTCCCAAAATTTAAAAAGCGGCTGGGGATGTAGCTCAGTGGTAGAGAAGCCTGGGTTTAATCCCCAGTACCACTGCGGGGACAGAAAGAGACAGAGAACCTATCTTAAAAAGGGCTGAGTGGGGCCAGGGATTTAGCTCAGTGGTGCCACAACTGCCTCACAAGCGGAAGGTCCTAAATTCGATCCCCGATACTGGAAAAATTAAAAAAAGGGCTGAGGATGTAGCTAGTGGTAGAGCACTTGCAAAAACAAAACAATAATCTTCCTGAGCTCATAAAAGCAGCAGGCTACAGCATCTCAAAGTCCAGCACCAAGTTAAGCAAACAAATGAATGATGTGTGAAAGACATTGTGAAAGACACTAAGTTTGTTTCTCATTGATATAAAAACATGCAACTCATTTTTTTAGAGCAAAGACCATCAGATTTTGATTAATTTGATAACTCCACACCCTTGGAAGGCAACTTATTAAAAGGAAGGAAAACTAAACCAGGTGTGGTGGCGCACACCTGTAATCCCAGCGCTAGGGAGGCTGAGGCAAGAGGATCACCGCCAGTTTGAGGTCAGCCTGGGCTACACATTGGGTTCAAGACCAGTGGGTTCAGGACAAGCAAGTTCCTGGGTCAAAATACCTAACAAATACGTAGATAAAAAAGGAAGGCTATTAAAGGCAGTTACTTAAGATCAGCACAAAAAGTTTAAAGGAGGAAAGGAAGATACCCAGAACACTTAACCACTGGAATGATATAAATGTTCAGAGATTTGGTTTAATGAAGGTTTCAGAGAAGCCAGGTAAAACAAACAACAGACTGCTGAACCTTTAAAGGAAATGAGATAAAAATCTGCCTGTTCTCTTTTTCTTTTACTTTATTCTTTTTATAAAAATATACAATGCTTCACAAATTTGCATAA